CGTCAGTCGATGACATTCTTTCCAAGTAGTCACGATCCCCGTCTTCCGTCCAATTACCACTGCATAGAACTTCATTTTCTTTCCTTTCGGTGTTTTCTTTGATTTCCTTTGTTTTGAATCGGCCATTTCTATGTCGGCACATAATTGATCCAACTCGTCGGAGTCGTAGGCAAAACTTTTGGTTCTGGTGTTCCGTGCGGATCTTCTAGTCATGATTAACGTAATCCAAGCTTTCTTTATATATTTAGTGGTTGATCTACGTTGATTTCAAAAAGGTAATGAACCTGCAACCGCCGTATCGATTTGATTTTGAAGAGCTCACTCACACACGTGTTGACAGTACGACGCCATTAATATAAATATTAGCTATGAGAGTGGGACCTGATGGATTCCATACACTGACAATACCAAATTTAGAGTTGATTATGCAGTATAACATCTTCTACCTGTGATGTCTTGAATATGTAAATGTTATGTGAACAATGTCCAAAACACATATGCACATTTATACCCTTACAATCTGTTAAACATGATTGACCAAAACTGGTTGACAATTCACAGGCAATTCATCTCAATTCACATTTGTCCCAACACATTCGTCCCAATTTTTTTTGGTCAGCATTACAATCTTGGGCAGATTAATGTCTATTCCTATGTTTGTGTGCAAGAAGTTAAAATCGACAGTGTGTGCTATGTCCTGACGGTTTCTGTTGCGAGTTCGGTCAACTGTATATAGTTACTGACACGCTTGCCATATACACGAAACATGACTACCCAGCACCACCATACTTACTTGAATGGTATAATGAAAGAGTATGTAGGTGCCCAGGCTATGAGCTGTTGTTAATAGCCATACAAGTACAAGAAACAACATCAACCCACAGTTAAAATTACGACGTGCTTACAAACATCTCCCCCCATTTTATTTGGGACAAATAAACTTGTGAGCTGAATTGACTTGAGACGAATGTGATTAGGACAAATCGACTGTTTCCTGGGTTGACATACCGGTATTGTAAAGATGATAGCGCACTCCACTCGTACATTATCTATTTACATCTTACACTGTAGATAACATTTTAGTCATTTAAGCATCATCCCTGATTTAAATGCATTTCAATTAAGTTATAACGTAATCAGACAACCCCGGCAGAAATATAATTTGTTGTGAATCAGCTGTATCTTTGAATACACGTCTTTTTAGCCAGCACATTACTTTAGCTAATTTAAATAATTTTATTAATTCTAAATGTAGATAATTCCACAGAAAATACTGGCTTTAGCTACATTACCAAATTTCCTTTTATTCAAACATCTAGCCAAATTCGACAAAAGAGAATGTACTTATTTAAAGTGTTTTATTATTTACATTGCATGAGGTGCCATTATAAATGTTCACTTGATTACTTTAGCAGTTATAACTAGGTACGTGTACCTATAACAAATAATTTATGTTCAATGACGTAATAGTATTAAGTATAAAGGTTATAAGGTTAATAGGAAAATCATTGCAGCAAAAGTGTTAGCTTGCGTATGTACAATATACATGTACTTATATATTAGAAAGACTTTGTCTTTCACAACAGGAAGTTAGTAAGTACGATGCATCATGGGAAAATGACTAATTTGTAAGGTTTTATTCATTAATAAAGTATGATAGCTCCAATGTATACATTTTTTCTTATTTTATAATTCAAATGTACAAACTTATTTCCCATCTATGTATATACATGCACACATACATTCCAGCCAAAAAACAATATCAAGTTCATTATCCGTATTAATACTAACCATCCTAAACATTAAAACTAATTAGACTTGTGACACATGTACACATATCTGAAAGTGTGTTTTGAAAAAAAACAACTGTTTTTTTAATTTTTAGTGCATTTACGGAAATTAATCAACAATATCTAATTAGTGCTGTACACTAACTGAAGTTGTATGCAAATTGTGTTTTTCCATGATTAATATTCTTTTAACATTTTATTTTCAATGTCCGACTGTGGTCAAATTAAATTCTATTTAATTGTGTAACCTTTCTTGACCATCCCGCTTGGTGTCAAGGTTTTTATGTATACACCATTATTGACAAATGAGATTTGTAAATGATAGTACACAGGTCAATGAAATGAAAGAGCTGTATTTAACCACCGTCCTTCAACAGGGACAGAGATTTAACATATGTAAAAAAACTGATTTGATGTTTTGAAATGTTCAGCTATAATCAAATTATGCTTACATGTAAATACATCAGGGGTTGAAATTAAAAATAAAATACCCAATCAATTGAACAAATTGGCGAATAACAGAGATGTTCCAAATGATGATGTATCAGTCCCTATTGAGATAAAGTCACTGCCAATGTCAACCTTAGTGCCAAATAATTATTCACACTAATGCGACAGACATGATACAAAGTAGAGCCAGTTTATTTTTAGTGATACATAATGCATTTCTAGCATGGAAATGACGATCAGCTACCTTGAATCCTATTCTAAAACAGATGCATGTACAAATGTGTCTCATGATGTATGTGTAAAGGTTGAAAATGATCAGTCCAGCCATGATAGCAATATCATACATGGAATGTATCCTGGCAGTGGAACTGTCTGTCGGCCATTTTCAATCCAATCTGAAATAAGAAACAACATGCATGAAGAATCATCCATTATGTTCAATTTTGATGATTTTTAGCACTAAAATGACCCCAATTCAGTCATCTTGAATTGGCTCATGAAACAGAGATGTATATGCGTAAGTATGAATTGACATGTGTGAAGATTGAATGAAATTGGCCTAGGCATGTCTGAGATTCAGGTGCACATGGATGCGCCATGGAGTTGATATTATAAGAGGCTGTTTTCATACTACGTCTGAACAGGGACTACGACAGTGGATAATTTATTTTAAACATGATATCTTTATTCACCTACATACAAGGACAGGTAATTTCTACTTCTACCTGTCCTTGGTCAATTTAGCATTCCTCACTCTTATTGATTTTGATCAACCTGTTAAAACCGACCGCTGGATAAACCGACCTACTGTCAGAAAAGACCAATTCATGTAGCCCCGAAATTTCTCCATAGACGCCTATGTTAAAATAACCTGTGAAATCCGACCACTGTCTACTCCGAACACCGACCGCATTGATCGGTCGGTCCCAGGTCCAATATTCACACTGAATACATCGGCCATCCGACCAGTTGCACCGCGTCCGCTGTCTAGTAATCCGGTCTGTCTGACCTAAAAAGTGTGCATTGTGTTTAATTTACCGTGAACGTCACAGAAATAATACCAAATCTCAAACTACAAGTAATGTCCCGAGTAAAACAATGGCAACTGATTAACTTTTTCACACCACACGCCCACAGGGTTTCTGAACAGTATAATGACCCTGGATATAAACAAATGATCGGGGTCATCACTTTCAGTTTGGGTGAAACGTACTACATCACCTTTTCAACGAGCGAAAGACATTGAGTTTTCTTCTTTTCATGACGATTCTGATCGATAATATTGTGCTTTCGAATGTTTCCGTGAAGGGGGCTTCAAGATTAAAATTGATGATGACGAAGAAGCAGACGACAACAAAGAAATTGGAAACCTTATTTAAAAAGTTGCAGACCCTCAATCACAATATAGCGACATATGATGGCGAGAGAGAGCAACAGATTGTTGAGAATTTTATTGCAGACAAAGAAAACAAGGAATCTACAGACAACGATGACAT